CACCTGGAGCCCTGCCCACTGGCAGTTCTATTTGGGGTAAGATCCTGACTACTGGCCAGGTGCTGGGGAGCTTCCCAGGGCACGGTGCAGCCTACAGGAGGTGGCATCTTCTTCCCTCCTGTGCAGGAAAAGCTGGGCCATGCAAGGCCCTGGCCATCCTTTCTCATGGCCACACTGGTCCAGCCAAGGATATCTGGACTGCTTCCCTGTGAGGTCATTCAGCTCACGCCTAATCTTTGGTCCTGGTCTGATCTTCAACCACAGGTTCTCCTAAGCGGCACCACTTTCAGCGACAGCGGGCAGCCAGTGAGAGCATGGAGCAAGAGGGGGATGTCCCCCACGCCGACTTCATTCAATACATTGCCAGCGCAGGCGACTCGGTGGCCTTCCCACCCCCCCGCCCCTTTCTGGCCAGCCCCACCAGCCCACCCCCCACTCTCGGCAGGTATTGTTCAGTAGATGGAGGTGCTAAGGGTGGGCCTGTGGGCCCCTGCCCTGCCCCATCCCCCATAGGTGGCCCAGGGACTGCCCTCCTGGCCCTGTGGACACGAACTCGAGTCACCCTGGCCACTTCATGGGGGCCACCTCTCCAGCGCAGACCAGAGAAGGAGGAGGGAAGCAGGGAGAGAATGGGTAAGGGTAGATGGGCAGTTGATGGTCCCAGGGTCTCCAAGATGAGACACCCACCAGAGCAGGGCAGTGGGCTTGGGCCTACTATGGCCCTGTCAATTTGTGGCAGGCTCCGAGGTCTGAAGAGCTCCTCAGTGGTGCCAGCGTCCCTTATGCCTGCCTGCACTCCTGATGTATGCCTGACCCCAATCAGGGAGCAGCCTTGGTAACAGCTGCTATCCGAAGTAACCTCTCCCCCACCAAGCCACAAGCAAACCTCCTAAATGCTAAAACCACTGGAGTACAGCCTGAGGCCTTGCAAACTTAGGGGTGACCCCCCCCTTCATTGATTCACACCTGGCTGTATCAGGCCCGTGACCAGTGGGTGAGGTAACACCCAGTCAAGGGGCTGGTGATTTGGTGTTTGCACATCAAGAGAATCACTTAGGAGTGGCCCAGACTGGATGGGAGTCCCTCCATGTCCATAGTCCCTAAAAGCACAAATGTGTAGCCGGCAGGGCAGGGCAATACCTGCAGGCTCTGACCACGTGGGCCTGGCCTTGCAGGCTAGAGGCAGCTGAGGCGGCGGGAGGAGCAAGCCCCGAGACTCCTCCGGAGCATGGCATCAGTTTGGGGCCCGAGCATGCGCAGCAGCAGGACCCGCAGCAAGAGCAGGACGCCGAGCATGCACAGTGCAGCTACCGTGACCTGTGGAGCCTTCGTGCTTCGCTCGAGCTCCACGCGGCCACTGCGTCGGACCACAGCAGCAGCGGTAATGACCGCGACTCAGTGCGCAGCGGTGATAGCTCGGGCTCGGGTTCCGGGGGTGGAGGCGCAGCACCCGCCTTCCCGCCCCCTCTCGAGTCTCCACCTGCTTTGCGGCCTAAGGACGGCGAAGCCCGCCGCCTGCTACAGATGGACAGTGGCTACGCGAGCATCGAGGGACGAGGGGCGGGCGACGAAGTTTCCGAACTTCCTGTTCCAGCCCGCAGTCCTCCCCGCAGCCCGCGAGCCTGGCCACGCAGGCCACGCCGCGATTACAGCATCGACGAGAAGACGGACGCTCTTTTCCATGAGTTCCTGCGCCATGACCCTCATTTTGATGACGCTCCGCGTCACCGTGCACGTGCGCATCCTCACACTCATGCACGGAAGCAATGGCAACAGAGAGGCAGGCAGCACAGCGACCCCGGCGGCGCACGCGCGGCCACGCCCCCTGGGGCGACTCGCCCCACACGTGCGCCCTTACGCCGTGGGGACAGTGTTGACTGTCCTCCTGAAGGCCGTGCGCTGCCCATCACGGGTGATGACCCATCCATTCCTGTCATCGAGGAGGAGCCTGGAGGTGGAGGCGGTGGTTGCCCAGGATCTGGGTTGTGTGTTGAGCCCGCCGGGGCACTGCTGGACAAGCTAGCAGCCAGCCTCGACGAGAGACTCTTCTCTCCCCATCTTGCTGAGCCAGTTGCCTCGTCCCCGGTGCTGATTGTCGCTGCTGCCGCCCCTACATCCCCTGACCACAGCCCCGCCTAAGCTCTGTGTACTGGACCTGCCTCTCGGCTGCTCCTCCGGCAGCACGTGGGGCCGCCATGGGAATGGTGGCGATAGCAGGGGCAACCTGAGGTTGCTGTGCATGGGTACGCGGCCCACATCCCAAGCGTGCTTGCTAAGTGGGGCACTTAGCTGGGCGCAGTGGCCTCCGGAAGCACGAGGCTCCAGGACCGAGGCTCAGCTGCAGGGAGGATGAAGAGATTGGACTCTGGGATCCATAGAAGGTTGACCCCGGCACCCAGTCTCTGGCCACAGATGGGGGTGGAGCAGGTTCTGAGGTGCAAGTGCAGCCTCTCTCCAGGATCAGCTGAACCTCCATTCGTGAGCACGTGTTGGCGGTGCCACTGCCTGCCATAAGCATGCGCGAACCTACTGGAGGGGAAGTGACTGTGGGGCACTGAGGATCAGCGAGGAGCTCGGCGCCCCAGAGCCTCATCTATTTACCCTGTCCATAGTATGCGCTTTGTAGCGGCCTTACAGTTCTTCTCTGAGCGATAACCGACCGCGCCCACCCTGCATGTGCACAGCCTCTACCCTGTCCCATTGCTACCCAAGAGCCTTGGGCTTTGGACAGACGGACAGAACAGCCCAGGTGGCAGCATCAAGTTTCCCAAGCTTTATTTATTGCCAAAAGATAGGGCAGCCTCGCCACGAGTGCCTGCCCACTCCCTGCCCTGCGCCCTCTATGGTTGGTCGTGTTGTCTGGTTGATCATAAATGTCTCTGCATATTGGTTTGCTCTGGGTTTTCTCTGTAGGCAACCATGTGCCCCGCCTGCTCCACAGTTCCAAACACCCTCATAGCCACAACTCAAAACCACCTGTTTTATTAAAAAAGAAAAACCAACCCAAAGACAGCAAGGCTCGCAGAGCGACATGCAGGCGAGGCCGGCCAGTGGTCTTGACATAAAGTGCTTCTGGGGTGGCAGGTCTGCCCTCAGCTCCAACGTCTGGAAGTGTGTGGACAGGCAGGCCCAGAATCACAGCCTTGCTGGGACACCTGTCCAGAGATCCTGGCGACACACTGTTGGTAGAATGGGTGGTCACTTAGCACCAGGCCCCAGGTACTATAGCCACTCCAGAGCAGAGAGGTCCTTTGTATATAACCTTGACTGGTAAGGGCTGTGGCCTCAGCCACCAGTCCTCAGCCCCTGCAGCCCGCCCTAAGGGAAGGAATTCAGAGCATAGCAGATGCCCACTGTGACTACCAAGCACGGCTCTGGATTCTGGCCCAAGCCCACCTGCAGGCTTCAGTCACTGTTGCTTGCAGGCCGAGAGCCGGCGGATCTTGTTGCTGGAGCACACCTTGCGCGCAGGGTTGGCGGTGCCAGGCCGGCCTTCTGGCTTCACCTTGCTGCTGAGCTGGGGCTCTGTGCCATTCACACAAACAGCCTTGGGCAGGCTGTGGCTCTGTCCATTCTGACCCACTTCCTCTTCCAGGACCTGTCCTGTGGGAAGATGGCAAGCATAGCTCGAGCCAAGGGGCAGGCAGCTCCAAGCCCCAGGGCCCAGCCAGCCCCAAGTGTGCCAGAGCCTGGTCAGGCTTGTGCTCTCTAGCCTCTGGTGCCACCCCTCAGTAGCTCCAAGGCAGCCGGCCCAGTGCCGTCAGTGGCGTGCCCTGGCCCTCCTGCAGCGTGCCCATGCTCACCTGCCTGTCTAGCCTGGGCAGCCGTACACCGGCTCAGAGCTCTCCAGGGAGCCAGCTCTAGACCCTCAGTACAGGCACAAGGAGATGAAGCAATCGACTCAGTGTTACTAGCTGTGCAGGGCTCAGAGGAGACCATCCAGCTGGGGGCTGCAGGCCCAGCTTGTTCTGCTGGCCTGCCCTCATGGTAGGACAAGAGGTCCCAGTGGGCAGTGTCTACATGGAACTACACAGCCTAGTGCTCTGTGATGCAGCTGTGGGGACCCAGCACAAGCCCCACTGCCCATGCTCCTGGATCCACAACCTCTGACCTGGCCACACTAGCAGCACCCACGCTGGCTCTCGTGCTGGACGGGACTAGGGCATGAGGTCAGGTGGACTCTGAGGAGGGACTCTGTCCCCTCCTCCACACAAAGCACTGAGTAGAAAAAAGCCCCTGTCCTGTTGCTGCCGAGTATGACCCTCGTGCCAGGTACAGAGGGACCAGGCTGTCACTTCACTCTGTGCAACACTACCCCAGTGTCCCCAGACCCTTGCCTTCCTTAAACCTCAAGCCTTGAGTCCCTCATGCACCCCCTCCCCCGCCCCCACAGAGGAGCCACATGAAGAGGGCCCTGTCAGGCACCAGCTCTTGGCCAGGAGCCCAGCCTGTGGGACAGTCAAGGCAAGGGCTCCAGGTGACAGTGGAAGACACTATTCCCACATGGGGATGGCTTAAGCCTTGAGAAGGGCTGTGGCGAAGGCCCATCCTGGACATGAGGTGTACACCTGTCCTTGTGGGTCCCACCTGGCACCCAGTGAGCACCACTTTCAGAACCCTCAACTGCTACAGGAGATATAGTAGCTCAAGGTCCTTACCCTCCCCCCACAACTGTTTGAAAGGCCAGGAGCTGAGTGGGCCTGGCTTGAGGGACACAGGGACAAAGGCCACAAGAGCCTTGGCTGGTGACCACCTTGGCGCTGAGGCTTTGGCTCAGGCCTTGGACCCAGGCATGTTCTTTGAAACCCTGCTGGGGAGCCTGTCAGGATAGTGATGGGAGGGCAGTCGCGGCAAGCATCCACCTGCAGACACAGTGGACAAAGCTTTATGGAGGACACAGGTGGGGCAGCAGACAGGGAGCTACACTAAGGCCCCGAAGCCCTCCTCGGGCTCCTCTCCAGGAAGGCCTGCGCCCTGGCTCTTCCACATGCATGTGTCGCATGCATCCTCGCTAAGCCCTGCCTCGGCCGCCTCCTCGACACCTGGGGAAGAAGGCGACAGGTCAGGCATGGCCAGGACTGAGGGCCACTGGACCCTCCCTCTGTCTCAGGGCACCTACCCACTGCCCTCCAGGGTCCCCTCCTCCTGCTAGACGCAGCCAGGGAGGCCACAATAAGCTGTAGATGGGGCCCAGGGAGCCCTTCAGCTAGCCCAGAATGAAATGCCACAGCCACCAGGATGGCTCCGGCAGTCCTGGTGGCTCATGTCAACTGGAGCCTTGGGAAGAGAAGCAGCCCCAGAGTGCACAAAGGCATCAGCTCCAGCATGAGCTGCGGCAAGCCAGCTCACCAGGCACCGTGAAGTCCTGGGTGTAGATGATGCCATCCTCAATGTCAAACAAGTCCTCATCCTCTTCCTCCTCTGCACGGCCATGCAGGTCCTCCAGGTAGGGCACTACGGTCATGCTGCGCCAGCGGTCCTTAGTGTCTGGGCTTGGTGGGATAGGCACGAGCGCCTCGGCCAGAGGATGTTTCTTCCGGAACCAGCTGCAGAAGCCCAAGTGCGGCAGACACATCAGGAACTAGGCACTCAGTGACCACCACTGGCCAAGATCCACCAGGGCACACACCATGGCTGCCCTTGCAGATGGGAAGGCCTTAGTACTCGGGTTCCAGGCCTAAGGTAGCCTAACACCCATAACACTGACACACCCTGTCCAAATCCACAGCCCACAGCACCTTGGACTGGAGTGGCCAATCAGGGTCCTTGTACCTATAGCCCCACCCACCTTGAACAAGGGTAGGCTAGAAGCCCTCCTTGGGGGTGCCCAGCTGAGCCAGTCTCAGTCTAGCATGGAGGTAGCAAGAGGCCCAGGACAGAGAAACCTGGACCCATGGCTCCGACCAGCTGGTAAATAAAGGGCAAGACAGAGGCTCCGCTGCCACCTACAAGGCTCTAACCCTCAGGGGAGGAAAGACTCCATGTCTCATGCTTCCTGCTGGCCTCCCTAGACACATTCTCACGTCCAGATGGCCAAGGACCAGCTGGGGTCCACAGTGCCCTTTCCCATCCACTCCCTCTCCACCGCGGGAGGCCCCGCGTCTCCAGCTTCTCAGCCATCCAGCTGCCTGCCCTCCTCAACAGAAAGGTAAACGTAGGGAGTCTGGATGGTCTCCTTACCCCTGGCCTGCACTGGGTACCCCCTTCACATCCCAAGTTCACACACAGCCTTCCCAGGACATACAAATCCTTATCCCTGTAACAATCCCTCTGAGACCATGGTCTCAGCTCAGACACCCACCAGGCTGAGACAGGCCAGCCACGCTCACCTGTGCTGCCTAATCTGTCGGATGGAGAACCTCTTGGCTGGCTCGTACTCCAGCATCCCTGTATGACAGAAGAGATGTGTGAGAGTGTAGCCAGTGCCTGCCTGCGCTGTGCCAGAGCTCCCCACCACCACCCAAACTGTTGGTCTTCCTAGGCCCCAGTGAGAGCAACAGGCAGCAGGGACACAGCACACCGCCTCCACCCCCCACCCCCAGATTGGGGGAAACAATCTCAGAAACCTCCCATCCGGCAGACAGAGCTGTCCTGTCAGTTGGGTCAGAACTCCTCCACAGAGCAGGGGCTCTGTCCCTGGCTGTCCTGACACTCGGGTGATCTAGAGATGCCCACCTCGGAGTAGGTCAGAGAGTGGTGGACCACAGTCACAAGGGATGGTGAAGTCCCCTCTCCCGATGTTCTCAAAGAGCTTGTAGATATTGTCCCCCTCAAACGGGTACAGGCCCGTGGTGATGTTGTAGCTTCACACAGGAAAAGAGCGTCAGTGTTAGTCACAGCTGAGAGCAGAAGCCAGGTGCCCCTCGGCTCCCAGACAGGAGACATGGTAGATGTGCAGCCACGGCACCCTACATGAAACAAAGCCTCTGGGGTGGGGCGTGGAGGGGAACTACACCTGCAGATCTGGAATGTCCAACCTGCTGGCCACACCCTATGGGTCAAAGGGCCCGAGAACACCAGAGAAAATCCACAGCCCCCATCTGCTACAGGGTACATACAGGACACTCACAGTGTGACCCCAGCCGACCAGATGTCCACCTTGAAACCTGAAAAGGTGTCCAGTCCATTGGCAATCTCTGGGGGCTGGAATGCCGGGGAGCCCTGGCTTGTCCGGCAGGTGTCATCCACAGCGAAAGGGTGCAGGGCCTGCAGGGCAGTGAGAGTCAGGGCAGCTCAGGAGAAGCGGCCCAGGATCCCTGCACACGGTGCCTACCTCGGCAACACCGAGGTCGGAGATCTTCAGTGTGCCATTGGTGGTGAGTAGCAGGTTGCCCGGCTTGATGTCCTTGTGAACAATGCCCTGGCTGTGTAGGTACTCCAGGCCGTCAATCAGCTGGCGGAAGTACCTGAATGGGTGGGACTGGCTCAGGCCCCACAGGGTCTCAGCCCACACCACGGTGCCTACATAAGTCTGCAATGAGCTCTGGGAGGCTCATGAGGCCTGGTCCACAAGGGGGTAGGTGTTTAAGAGATCAGCGCACAGACTCAACAGTCAGAAGGCTAGGGCCCACTGGACAATACACAGGCAACTCCAGTCAGTGCTGTCCGGGCCCAGGGAGCCAGCTTTCCCCTCTGGCTTCATTTCCTCCCCTGCCCTCTGTTCTTTGTTAACCAAGGGATATGACTCTGCTGAACCTGGGATGGCTGATCAGGCCTCAGAGCCACTATGGCTCTGCAGGGCAGTGGGCCCACAGGGCCTAACAAAAAGGTAACACCAAGCACACCGGCTGGGCTAAAAACGGGGGGCCCAGAAACATCTGGGTTTCCTGACACTTGCTGCTCGTCCCACACCCAGCAGGGCACTCACCCATGAGCCTGGCACACGGGGAAGCGCTTCTCCGGCACACTGTCCAGCATCTCCTGCATGCCACACACGCAGTACTCCATCACCATATACGTAGGGCGCTAAGGAAAGCAGCACACAGCAGGCCCAGGAGCCCTG